TGTATGCCTCTTTGTACTTGAGGTAGATCCAGGGGAGTGAGATGGGAAGGTCAAAGGGCAAATACAAACATAACTTTGCTAGTTTTTCTCATTTCCCTCCATGGTGGCTGTCCATTTGCCCTCCCACCAGCAACATATGGCAGTGCCTGGTCCCTGTGTCTTTGCTCTTATAATTGGGGTCCTCTTTTCCATTTTTATCTTCTAGCTGGTTTTGCTTGTTTATGTGAGCTCATTTAATGTTTGTGTTAATTTTCAGGGGAAATTTGTTATCTAATGAGCAGTGTCGCTCCCCTCTATGAGGATGTCAGGAGGTCTCCCAGCTGTGCCTCCTCCTCCTCAATTTATTTACAGCCGTCTCCTCAACCAACTTCTGGCAAAATGAGGCTCAGCGAGTTACAGACACAAAACAAACTTCTGACATGGGACATTTAAAAAGACAAGTTAAAACATTAATAACACCATGAGTAGCACGGGAGGTGCTGAAGGAGAGACATGATCTATACCTTTGGGGAAAGTAAGACCAAAATGTGCTTTTAATAAGTCATCTAGCAATTTCCACAACACCTTCTTTCTGCTGGGGACAATGAGTACAGTGGCTGGAGCCCAGGAAGTGCCTATCTCCACACTGCCTATGCACGTCTTAAAGAGGTGACTGGTTTGTTTCCTACTGTTCATTACAAGGATTGTGAGTGGTGTTGTGGTACATGCAGCACATGTGAGAGTGTGCAGAGCTGAAGCGACTCTGTGTGATTGTTCCAAGGTTTTCTAAAAGGCCCTGAGGTTTTCCCCTGGCTATTTCTTGCTCACCCTTAGTGTGTTAGCTTTCTGTGACTGTGACAAAATACCTGAGATAATCAATATAAAAGTAAGAAAGGTTTAGCTCATGCTTTCAGTCCATGGTCATTTGGCCCCATTGCTTTCAAGCATATGGCAGCACAGTACGTCCCTTCAGGAACATCCTTCCTGTGACCTACTTCCTTCCACTAGGACCTACATCTTAAAGGTTCCATCACCTCCCAGTGGTGCCACAGTCTGGTGACCAAGACTTCCAATATGGGCCTTTGGGAGACATTTACGATACAAACCATAACACTTGGCATCTAGTTAGCACCATGGTATAAGTGACCCCAAGCTAGTCTAAATATAGAGACCCAGGGAGAGCTGGGGACATAAAGGAGCTGATCTCCCCTCCACCCCCCAGGTCAACAGCCAGCGTCAACCTCCAGGCACATGGTGGAGCAAATCTTACGATCATTCCCAGGTAACAGCTTTGAAACCTTCCAGTTGAGGCTCTGACACGGTGCAGCAGAGACAAACTGTGCCTTTTATGTCTTATCAAGAACCCACGAGTACAGTAAATGGTGGTTTTATTCCATTGAGTTTGGGGGTGACTTGTTCCTTGTACAGCTATGTGCCACATAACGTTTGGTCAATGACAGAATGAATATACTATAGTGAACCCATAAAATTATAATGGAGCAGAAAAATTCCCATTGCCTAGTGATGGTATGGCTACTGTAATGTTGGTGCAATGCATCACTTGTGTGTGTTGGGGGATGCACTGTTGATCAAATAAAAATATAGCTCATACAATGTGTAAACTACAGAACACTTGCTAACACCAATAAACGACTATGTTACTGATGTATATATTTACTATACTAAATAATACTCTTATTGTTATTCTGGAATTTTTTCTTCTACTTTGTAAAAAAGTAGTTCACTGTAAAAGCATGCCATGTTACAGCAACAGCAACCTCACACATCTCCTGCATCTCTCTCTCTTTTGGGCAGTACTCCTCACTCTTGCAAGGGAGGAGGTCTACCACTTAAGCCACTCCACTAGCCCTTTTTTGTGATGGTTGTTTTTTGAGATAGGGACTTGGGAACTATTTGCCTGGACTGGCTTTAAACCTCCATCATCCTGATCTTTGCCTCCTGAGTCTCTAGGATTGTAGGTGTGAGTCACCGGTTTTTTTGTACTTTCTCTTTTTTTTTTTGAGGGGGGAGAATGGCACTAGGGTTTGAGCTCAGGGCCTCACTCTTGTTAGGCAGGGGCTTTTACCTCTTGAGCCAGAACCGAATTTTCTCATTCAGACCAATTGACAAAGAGAAAAAGAATTGGAGGAGCCACCTCCAGTCTTCCCTCTCCCAGTCTACCTTCCCTCATTCCTTCCTCACTTCCCCAGGAAAGCTCGCTGTCCACTTCACATGCTGCCTCAAGTTCCCAATCACTGGCTTTCTGAGCACCTTGCCTTTTGTCTTTACTCAGTTTGTGATTACATATGTGTTTCTGGTTATGAATCTAACCTCAGCTTCATGAGGGGAAGGATCTGTGGTGTTGCTTACTGTGGTGTTAAGCCACTTAGCAGACAGGAAGCTGCTGATTAAATGAACTTGGACTTGCCCAAGGTCATCCATTGAATACAGGAATCTGGTATTCCAGCCTACAAAGACTTCCTCTGCCACACCAGCATGCCTTCATTACAAATCTTCTCATGCTCATTTTGATTCCCCAACTGCTGACAATTCTAGGAGAGAAAGGCATGGTGTCTGCAAAAGTCTCCTCAAATTCAAAACATTCCATCTCCACCTCCACAGCCGCCTTCTTGCCAAAATAAGCCAGGAAGGTTTTTGGAGTGCCTGGATTCCAGCAGGAGTTGTGCTAGTCTGAGAAGAAAAACTTAGGGGAAAAAAAAAAAAAGAAATAGTCCCAAATGTTGACTTGTTTAAACTTTTTCACAAACTTTACAACACAAGGAAACCAACAGAGACAGCCAGTAATGAAGCAATCCGCTGATACTGCTAATATTCCAGCCAGGAGAAATGATAACCCTGTTCATGGAGTAAAGGCTCATTCAAATATGGCGGAGGAGAGAGGGTGTACTTCTTCTGTCTCCTTCCAGTCTGCGTTCTAAAAGCTCAGCAGGAATTTAAACAAATAGCACGGAGCAATGGTGAATCCAATCATATTCAAAGAAAAAACCCCTTTCAGACTTCTGTGAGTTTCGCTTTTTGAAAATGCTGCCAGTTTGGGTTTTGCCCGTCCCCCCCTCATCTGGCGAGCTTATTTGAGGAAAACAAAATTAGCATTAAATTGTTCTAATATTTTTTCTGGGCATTTTTTTTCTCTAGGTCAAGAAGAAAGTGCTGCTCTTCTCATACTAATGAATGCCAGGGGATGAGAAAGAAGGAGGAAGGAGGGTAATAATGGGGAACGGATCATAAAAAGTAAAAAAAGAAAGACTTGGGGGTGTAGCTCAGTGGTAGAGTGTACGCTTAGCGTGTGCAAGTCCCCGGGGGTTCTATGCCCAGCACCAATAAACAAATAGATTAATAAATAAGGGAAGATCAATTTTGCGTAACGGATGAAATGAAAAGGGATGTCGTGGTCCAGTCGCATCTCCACAGGAAGGTGGAATTGAGTCTGGAGTCTTTGGTACCCTCGTGTTCCACGTTAGGAAGAGGGGCTGAAGGGACGGGCGCTCCCGTCACCCTCAACCGCGCTCTTTATTTAATTGTACTAACAGCTCGCTGAAACTCATGGGGGTGGGGAGCTCAGTGCTCTGGCCTTGGACAAGTTCCTTAAGCCTCCGTCTTCTCACCTATGAAAAGGGAAAAAGAAACCCAACTTGACAAAGGTGTGAGGGTTAAGTAATACAAAGGAAATAGAACGTGTCTTCTGGCACACAGGCAAGTGTTCTGCAAGTTAGGAAGATACATAAAAGTTCCCTCACTCTCTGGGTGCGTCCTGAGCCTTGGAGAGGTTGGTGTGGCCTGTGGGGTTGGGAGGGCACATCAGCCAGCTGTCCTCAGGCTTCTCCAAGTTGGGCTGTGCGCGGCTGGAGGGCCCAAGGCTCCTCGTGTCTGCTTCAACAAGTTCGCTCACACACAGCCCCATCCACACTTTGGCCTGAAAAATCAGTAAGGGTTTTTCTTCCTTCTCCCTCTGTTGTTGGGTTCTGATTACTTCCATCTGGCTGCAGCAGCTCCAGTGGAGTCTCTCGAAAAAACAAAACAAAAACCCTCGCTACAAAACATATGCACCAAGCCTGGAAGGCTGCGTAGCTTCTCGCCAACATGCGCTCAGATGGCGACGTGCGCTAGCCGCGGCTGGGGGGCGTAGCAGGACCCCCTCCCTGTCCCCCGCACCTGCGCTAGCTGCCCCGGGAGAGGGTCCGCGTGGACCCAGCCCCACCTCCCTTCCCTAGGGTCCCAGGCTTCCGCCCCGGCGTCCGGAGGAGTAAGCGCCCTGGGAACAGCGACCCGGGCATCTCCCGGCCAAGGGAGAGAGGGGTGGGGAGGGCCGGGGGATTTCAGAGATTGAAAACAGAGCAATCTCAGCGCTTTAGCTCCGGAGCTCATCTGACTTGAGTTAACAACACCCCCCCAACCCCCCATCTCGGCGCCTTAAAAAAAGTGTTGGAGACTGGAGCGTTCTCGCGTCCACCGATCGCTTTCCTGGAGGGGATACGGTGTGTGTGTGGGGGGGGGGGCAGAGTAGAGTTCGCAGGCGCTCCCTTCTCGTCTCCTCCGGGTGGCGTCCGGGTCGTCCCCACTCCCCGCCCCACCAGTCCCCAGGGGCGGGGTGTGCGCGGCGGGGGTGGGCCGGCGGGGGCGCGGCGCCAGGGAGTTCTGCAGCCGAGCGCGCGGGGGCGCTGCGCCGCCCGGGTGGCGCTGATGGATTGCAGGAGTGCCGGCGCTCGCCAGCCGAGGCAGCACAGCTCCGCGGACTTTTTTTCAAACTCCCATCAATGAGACTTCGAGGAGGAGCGGGAGGCGGTGGTGGCGGCTGCGATCGAGGAGGAGCGGGAGGAGCCCGGGAAAGGAGCGCGGGTCGCGCGGAGCGCCGGAGCCTCGGGGAGCTGCCTGCTCCGCGTTGGTAACCGCTGCCCGGCTCCGCCCGCCTCGGTCCCCTCCCCTGCCCTGCCCGCCCCGGCCCGCCCCGCCCCGGCCGGCTAGAGCCCCGGCACACGGCAGCCCGCGGCGGGTCGCCGCGCCAGCCAAGTTGGGATGGGGGCCTGCAACTACTGCCCGGCGCCCGAGAGGCCACCTGCGTGCTAGAGACAAACTTTTGTGTCCTCGGTAAAGTTGCCTTGGCCTTCTTTTGCTTGCTTGTGGTTGCGAAGCGCATTCTGTCCTGGCCGAGCCCAGGCCGATTGGGATGCTGCGCTGTCTTTGGAGGGTCGCTTGGCCGGATACCAGCGCCACGGCGCGGGATCGTGACACTGGGCTTAGTTAGGAGGCCTGGAGGCTAGAGGGAGCGATCCCCTCTTCTGTCTCTGACCCTGCGGGGCGAGAACCTAAGGGGGCTCTTGGGGGCTAGGAACTCGTGGCCGGGGGTCGATTTTGCACATCTGTCCCTACCTGGGGGAAAACGCCTCTCTTCTTGGGGGTACTCTGCCAGGCCGGCCTTCACCAGAGCTGGGGGCTGTTTTTGTGAAGGATGGGGGCTGGGATCGGAGGCTGGGATGCCCCGAAGCTCCTGTAGGCGGGCAGAAGCAGCGTGTGTGCGGGAGTGTGCAGTGTGCCGAGGGACTGTAGCCAGCCACCTCTGAACTTCTAACTTCACTTCGTGCTGCACGTCCTGGAGCCCTGCCTTTCTTTCTTCCTCACTCCTTCCCCTTGCCGGGCCCTGTCGCCCCCTCCCCCTCACGGGGCTTTCCTCTTCGGGGCTCTCGGCCTCCTTTCTGGCCTTTTTCTGTGTCCTCTCCTCTCCTCGGCCCCGAGATCCGCTTGACTTCCCAAAGAGCTCCGCACATAATCTTTTGCCGGGTACCGGTCGCCCTACGCCTCACTTTCATCCCGGTGCCCCACTCCTCTTCTCTCCCCCCCCACCCCGACAATCTCTCAACAAGTATATTTGCTGAGGAATTTGAAAAATCCACTGCAACTTGATCTGTGTGTGATGGATGGGGAGAGGCGCGGAGAGAGTTGGGCGCCAATCCTATTAAGGGTTTAGAGAGGGGAGCGTTTTCCCCGGACGGGGGCGGGTGGGGGGGGTATGGGGTGGGGTGGGGGAAGGGAGCCGTGTGCTTGCGTGTGTGAGTGTGAGCACTCCCGCCGCGCCGGGGAGCTGGAAGTCCACCCAACTCGGAGTCTTTTCAGCCCGGCAGTAATTGCTGTCATTTCCTAGGAAACGCGACTTTTATAGTACGGGGAGCTGAGGATGGAGCCCGCCTGCTTCACCCTTGGTGACCGGCCACAGAGCGCTCATGGTCCTTGGGTATCCCCTAGGGTGCCTCACCTCTCTGCCCGCTCTTTTGTGTAATTGTTGTGTGGCTCCCAGAGTTGATCCCAGCGGGAAAAGCAGATCTGTTCCTAGGCTCAGGTCCCGCGCCCTGGGGGTGTTTTACGCTCTCCCCTCTGTCCTCAGCCGGGGCATCACCCTCGGTGTGCGGCCTCTGACGCGGGCTTTGCAGCTCAGTGGCCGCTGCACTGTCCTGGGCCCCCGCCCACCGCCCTAGCCGGGCGTGTGAAGGTTTAATCCCAACAGCTTCAGATAAAGGGAGCAGTTGTAAAACGCTCATATGCTGTTTGCAGACGAGGCTCTGGGGGATGTTGGAGAATTTGAAAGTAAACGTTTCCCTCGCAAGCGGCATAAAATAGTGTTTAAACAAATATTGTATTGGCATGCTCAGGGGGCTTGGTGCCAAAAAGTAAAGTAAATAAACTGTGAAATCCAAAATATACAGCGGGGGATAGCGTGGAATAGGCGGGCTTGTCACAGTCTCTCTGATGCGATCTGTTTGTTCTAGCCACCTCCTCTCCAGCACCCTCCCCACCTATTTCCTAACCGTGGTTGCCAGTTTTCCTTGCTGAGCAGGCTTCTGTGTGTCTGGGGGCAGACGCCTCCTGGCCTGGGAGCGGCTCTGCAGTTGCTCAGTCTGGGGGGAAATTCGTTGAGTGGCTACCTGGGCTCATCTCCCATCTCCCTAGGGTAGGGAGAGGCCAGGTGCCCTGGCTTTGCCTACAAGGTTGGGTTTTTGAGGCTCCTTAGACTTCTCCAGTTTCTGGTCTGTCCTAGGGCAGCAATTCTAGAATGCAGAATCTAGGCTCCAAAGGTATCCCCTCTCCCCAAGGGTCCTCCCTCCTTGCCTCTCTCTCTTTCTTCATCTCTCTTGTTTTTATTTTTCTAGACTTGCTGCTTCTCTTCTGAGGGTTCCAGGAGTTGTAGAAATTCTCTCTCCAGGATTCACATTCTACTCAAACCCAGCCAGATGGAAAGTTGTCACTTGTCTGATGAGCTTTAAAGTTAATTATATTTTGGAAGATTTAGGGCGGTTTTGTATTTCCCCTCTGCTTTGAGAAGTATACCGATTTCATGAGGTTGTTCCCTGACTCTAGGGGGATTTAAAGTAATTCAGGGAAGAGCCTGCATTTGGAGGAGTCCACCTGCCCAGGAGGTAACCCCCTGCTGAACCTGCCTCACCTTGGTCTGGTGTCTGAGTGAGAGTGTTCTGTTTGCAGAGTCAGATAGTGAGAATGAGGATGGCAGGGAGAAAGCTCTCCCAGGCTCACCCAGAAACAAGGTGGGATTGTTAAGCTTGCTTTTATCCTCCGTGGGAATGGATGTGACAGGAGTTTGCAAGGGCTCAGATTCACTGAATGGGACTTACTCTCAGGCTGCTTCCAGCCTTGGAGGGAGCTCTTGTCTCAGTGGCCCACCTTTTGGAGTTGGTCAAGCTCCTCCACTCACTCAGTGTTTCATCCCTCTGGGGGGAGCATCCAACAAAGAGGAAATCCTTTGAATTGCCTGGTCAGAAGAGGGGGCCACGGGGTTGCCGGTCAGCAGCTCATTGCCTAGCTGCGAGGGTCTTGGGGGCTATGTACTGTAGCTGGCTTGTTTGCACTGCAGACTGAAAAATACACAAATACTTCACGCTTTTTGTACTCCCACAAGTGCCCTGTACACAGTGCAGGGCCCGGGGCTGGATTAGCAAACTAGATTCTGCAGGCAGGCAGACAAAATTGGATATTTGCCTAATAAACACCCTTCTTCCATCAGGGCCCCCCTTAGCCGCCTTTGGGGAAAGGTTCAGTACCCAGATGCAATTCCCTTTAAATGAGACCAGGAGGTTGTCGTGTGCACTGTGAAAACTGGTTGTGACCCTCTCACACCCAGCTCGCTTGTTAAAGCTCAAAACCAGAGTTCTACATCCTTGTGTCTGGTCTGGGCAGCTGGCCTTTACTGGGAAGGAGGGTGCATCAGGCTGCATTTCAAGTGGCTGGGGCTCTCAGGAGGTGGAGCCAGTCAGCCCTTTCTTTAGACTGGAGGAAGGGGGGGTCTACCTGTGCCAGGGCCTGTTTCCTGGTGCAAGGAAGTGCCGCCTGGCCAGGTGGACCTGCCTGGGACAGCTGCAACTGTTCCTGCTGGGCCAGGGCCCTTTGAAAAGCAGCCCTGGGGAACCATTTTCCTCCTTTCTTCTTTTCAGTTAGTGTCAGAGGCATGGACAAATGAAGCACATGAAGAATGCCAAAGAGAGAAACTATTTTCAGATTCCAGAAAATTCGAACAGGCAGAATACAAGAAGCCAGAATGCCCTGCAATTTCTGTGCTCAATGCTCTTTCACTTTTAAGGAACTTGGGTGCGGGGGCTACTCTATAATTGTTTCCTAAGGCTTATTTAAAAAGCCAACGAGAAAGGGTCATCAGTACTGACTTTTGATAGTATCCTTTTGTGAGAGTGACACTTTTGTGGTTTTCAAATAAACGCATTAACACCAGATTCAATATTGATAATTTCCTCTAAAATTAATCTGAGGTTTTGCTGAGGAATATCAAGGATTTTAAAAAGCAAAGCTTTGGTTTTTAGATTATGAGGGTGACAAAGGTGTTCTTCGTGCATAATGGTATTTAAAATCTTGGGACATTTTTTACATGTGTGATGTTTTGTTTTCTCCTAATTCTTTCATCAATAAAAGAATCTTTAATAGTCCAGTTTAGTTTTCTTTTCTGGTGTCTTTAAAAACAGCTTGTTTAAGATGTTACCAAAGAGTACATAGTAAGCTATGTTTGTGGGGTTTAAATGGAACAAGTTAATATGGTTTTGTGTGTGTGCACATGTGTGTTAAAAAAAAAGATAGGTTCTTGGGAGGTATGTTTTAACTGAGTGCCAGGTTTCAGCATTAGCATAAGAAAACCAGTTTTAGTGCTTTTACTATTGTCTTGAATGAGTTGCAGCAAAATCGAGGCTGGCCGGAGGGGCGATGGCCCATCAAGATTCTTCTGCAGCCCCAGCTTCTCATCTGCGGAAATCTGTGATCGGATATCACTTTTATCTCGCTTTTCCATTCTCCTGCCTTTTTCACACGTTCACTTTTGTCAAGGTTTATTGATTATGTTTTCTTCTCTGCAAATCTGTGGAAAATTTAATGAGCCAAAAACAGCAGCGAAATAAAGGGGACTTTTTATTCATTAGCATTGATTTCCCTCCTCGGGTGGGCAAGGGCCCCAGGCCTAAAGCGAGGGAGCTGGGGGAGGAGGGAGTTTGGCTCTGCTGCAGGCCCAGGCCGGCGTCCCCAGGCCTGTGGCTTCCCGGGCAGACCAGAATAGGGTCTCCAGTCCCAAGGAATCATGGATAACTGCTCTTGGAGAGCCTGTGTCCAGCCAACCCTGCTGCAGACCCCAGCCTTGTCCTCCAGTGTCCTGGCTGGTAGGCTTGCATGGGTGGTGGGGATATTTTGTCTGTCCCAGCCTTACAAACCAAGTGTCGGGCCTTCTCAGGGACACAGTTAAGTATATCTCCCTGCCTCCAGACCCGGCTTTCAACCCTGCAATTAGGCAAAGCCCCGGTGTGATTAGGCGTTGCTGACTCGGCGGGGCTGGAAGCCGGTTCCTCCTATGGAACTGGTGAACTCTTGCTCTTTCACAGGCTTGCTGGGCAGCCTGGGGTACACTGCACTTGTGCAGCTGTCCTCCTCTTTCTCTCTCTCTCCAGTCCCCTGTCCTTTCTTTTCTCTGTCAACCCTGCCGCTCTCCCCTCTCTGGGTCTTTCTCCTCTCTCCTTTCTTCCCCTCCCCATTCTTTCTTTTCTCCCCCTCCGTCTTCCCGCTCCTCTTTGTCTGTCCTCTCTCGCGCTGCC